GGCGCGGCGAAGCGCGAAGGCGTCCTCAAAGCGTGCGCACACACGTCGCCTCTGGCCCAGAGTGACCCGGCGGCCGGCCTGGAGCCCTAAACGCTTGGGTTTTGATGTTTCTTTCGTCTCGTAACTTCTTCCACAGCACCGAAGACAGCGGGCACGATCCTTACGTTCACTGAACGCGTCGAAAGACCTCCACCACTGTGGCCTCCATTGCGATGCACCGGAAAACGTGGTGCGGCTGGTGCCGGAACTGCATAACTTCAAGCTTTGACACGGCATGGCGCCACCTTCGCGTAGAGCTTGGTGCGCATTCATGTAAACGCTGCCGCTTCGGCTTCGTTCGAAGAACGAGTGGAGTCGATGCGCTGAAGTCGCTTTCATGTAAACGAGGCTAAAGGAATGCCCAATGGTTAGAGACGCAATACATAACACTTTGCCTAACGGATATTCGCAAAAGCTTTGATCCTAACGCGCCAAACTTCTGCTCGCAATTATTTTTTTTTTTGCACACAGTGGAAACGTTATTTTAACGATCGCTATTACTTCTGACAGTTTATGTAATAGTCTGTATCCAAGATTTATCTTACCGCTGCTCAGACTTGGCTATCCTCGAGAAAATGTTAATCTTCCATCAAGAAAAGCACTAAAAAAATCCAACAAACGCATTGTAAGGTTTGTCGAGCTCAGCAAACCTCAACCATGGTTATGTTCCAAACCTTACCCCAGTAACCTGTCTCCTACTTCAGCGGGTAATACCACGTGTACTCGCTAGTAAACGATCAGAGACTCGATTTTGGAACGGCGGGGATAATCACCTGGACTGTGTTCCAAAATTTACTCGATACGACTCCGGAGTAAAGGTTTCGTACCGTAGCGTTTCAAAACTTACTCGCGCTTACTCGATGACGTCAGAACACGCGTTCCAGAAGCGGGTTGTTTATTCCGGAGTAATTACTCACGCTACCCTCCTCGATCGGGTGGTAACGTCGGATCAAATCGAGTAAATACGTCATGTGATCCGTTCGTCGTCTGCTTTCTGCGCCGGCAGCCGTCAAAGCTCGCTTGCTTCGTTGGCTTTGGTGGCGGACGTTCGAAATGACGGTAAATGAAGTTCCGCCACTTATGTGTGGTTATTGCGATCTGCGGCTTTCAACGCAGGAATGGACTGCATCCCATCCAGACCGTGCAGCTTTCCCCAAAAGGTATACCTGCTGTACTAATGTGGCGATGCAGGCGAGTTGGTTATGCATGTTGAAAGTAGTGAAAGCGCACAATAAAGACGAATACGAAGACGGAGAGGCGCTCGTCCTGTTTGCCTCTCCGTCTTCGTATTCGTCTTTATTGTGCGCTTTCACTACTTTCAATATACCTGCTGTTATTATCAGAGTGCGAGCGTAAACAGGAGCTTCTCCATGTCCTCGGCGTTGGAGGAAATGCCGTATTTTCACGTACAAAGATGAAAGTGTTCGAACGCAGTAAATTATGTGAAGTATTGTTGTTTCCCCCACAGTGTATGTAATGAAAGGATAAAACGCTTGTAAAGCAGTGAATTCTTCGAAGATTTCATGCATATGATCAGTCACAACCCCTTCCCATCTTCCTCCCCAAAAAATTGCCTATAGCGGTTTGAAAGTTTTCTTTTTTGATTTTGTAATCATATTCACGTCAAAGCGAACGTAAGTTGTATATCACTGTTAAGAAAGCCCCTGCGCTGTCCCGCTATACCGTGTGGAAGCAATTTCTGCAGAACGTTATCGGTGCAAATTACGATGCGTGGAACATATGCGTTCGGGGCGCCTGGACTAGATTTACAGCGATCGCGCTGATTAATAAAAACAAATTTTTGATGTCTAACTGAAATGAGCAAGTAATTTTGATCTTAATATACGGCCCAAAAGGAAAGGGAGCAAAAGGAGCTGGTGGAGCCCCCTCAGACAACACCGCGTCGTCATTAATATTATCGTCCCTTCGAGTGCTTTCTCCATAATGAAAAGAGATCGTCTGCTAGATTCTGCCGTTCCTGCTGTGTTTTCTTTTTGTCGTAGCCCAAGATGAAGCCAATCCACGTAGTATCCAGGTGATTATCCCGGCCGTTCCAAAATCGAGTCGCGGATCGTTTACTCGCGATGTCGCGTGGTATTACCCGCTGGCGTAGGAGACAGGTTTCTCGGGTAAGATTTGAAACATAGCCCTGGATACTACGCGGATGGTCTTCGTCTTGGACTACGGCAAAAAGGAAACAAAGCAGCGATGGCAGAAAATAGCAGAAATATTTTCTGCTAAAATAGCAGAAAATATTTTGATCATGGAGAAAGCACTCTAAGAAAGGGTCATATAAATGACGATGCGGTGTTTTCTGAGGTGGCTCTACCAGCTCCTTTTGCTCACCTTCCTTTTGTCCTATATATTGAGATCAAAATTACTTACTCTTTTAAGTTAGACATCAAACCTTTGACGTGAATATAATTGCAAAATCACAAATAAAACTTCCAAACCGCTAGAGGAAATTTCCTGATGAAGGAGATGGAGAGGAGTTGTTGGCCGGTCATATACAAGAAATCTTCGAAGCCTCCCCTGCTTTACAAGCGTTGTCCTCTCGTTACACACACTGTGAGGGAAACAAAAATACATCCACTTTCTTAGAGTGCTTTCTATGTTCGAATTTTTTCAGCCTTGAACGTAAGAATACGGAGTTCCCTCCAACGCCGAGGACGAGGACACAGAGAAGCTCCTGTTTACGCACGTTCCCGGGGAAGGTGTACGGTCTGGATGTGATGCAGTCGATTCCTGTGTTGAAAACAGCAAATCGCAATAACTACGGGTTTTAGTCAAGTTAGTTGGTACATACTGTTGGCATTCAGGTCAGCTGAACACGGAAAAAAACAAGAACACGAAGGAAAGGACTGGACAATCACACCGCTGTGTGATTGTCCAGTCCTTTCCTTCGTGTTCTTGTTTTTTTCCGTGTTCAGCTGACCTGATTGCCAACAATAAATGGCTGCACCTCATTCTTTGTCATTTCGAACGTCCGTGACCAAAGCCAACGGAGCAAGCGAGCTTTGATGGCTGTGGATGGCTGTAGGCGCAGAAAGCAGACGGCGAACAGATCACGTGACGTATTTACTCAATTTTATCTGACGTTACCCCCCCCCCCTTCCCCCCCCCCCCCCCTTGAGGAGGGTAGCGTGAGTAATTACTCCGGAGTAAACAACCCGCTTCTGGAACGTGAGTTCTGACGTCATCGAGTAAGCACGAGTAACTTTGATATGCCAAGGTACGAAACCTTTACTTCGGAGTCTGATCGAGTAAAGTTTGCAACACAGCCCATGTATTATAATCAAATCATGGAATCTTACCGTGTGTGTCAGTGTGCGTGTCTGTTTGTGTGTGTGTGTGTGTGTTTTTGTCTGTGTGTGTGTGTTTGTGCGTGTGTGTGTGTACTTTTTTGCGAGACAAGAGAACTACCGCGTCTATTTTTTTTCTGTCTAACCAACAATAATAAGGTGTTTCTTTTCTTTTTTTTACAGCAAGGACATTTTAGGTGTTATATAATGTTATAAACTGTCACAACGTTGGCATTTTCTTTTCTTCTTTCATTCTGGACTTTCATTATCTAGACTGGCATGGTGTAACAAGTGGCAGAAGATGCGTATCAAAAATAGATTAATCCAACTTTATGAACGTGTCGACAAAGAAAACTATAATCAATTATACACAATCTTTGGTGTCCCTATCGAAAAAGTATATAAATATAAGCACCTGAGCGTTTTTATTTCCTATACTGTTTTTTGGCAGAATCATATTTACTATGTTGGGGGCAAGGCAAGTCGTTCCTTGGGGTTTATTAGACCGAAACTGTTTTTAGCACGTTCTGAAACTCATCTGCTAGCTTTTAAATCTTTTGTCAGGTCGCAACTGGAGTATGCTAGCATCATATGGGCTCCTCATCAAGATTATTTGAAAACTACATTAGAGAGCCTTCAAAACAAAGGGGCGCGATCCATTTTCCATGACTATTCACCTTACACGAGCGTTTCGGCACTGAAACAAACACATTTACCTCTATGAGAAACCAGGCGTAGGATCTCCCCTCTCATGTTCTTTCACAATATGTATCACTATAATGTTTCTCTCAAAGAACGTTTATTACTTGCAGCCCATCGCATTTTTGATAGACATGATCATGCTCACAAACTTCGCTTAATTCATTGTAACCAATTTCGCAACTCTCCGTCAAAGCTTGACATTTCAGAATGGAACTCTTCACCTCGGTGTATAGTTAAAGTTGCAGATAGAGCAAATTTCAAATCTTCTTGTGAAATATATTTTCCACATTATCCCGGAATGAATCTTGTGTGCGAAGTATATTCTGCTTGTTGTTCTCTGTTCTCGCTAGGCATGTGTATACTATTGTAATCATTAGTCGTGATATACTTTTGTTGATTTCCTACGACTTATGTATTATATGCGTTATTTTATATTGCATTGTATCCACCTTTGTAACTCGCCCCTCATACAATGTCCGAAAGGGCTCTTTGAGGTTAATTAAATAGATAAATTAAAATTTACACGTTTTTAGAAGGGAATTTCGGCCACCGCTATATCGCTGCTGGTCCGTGTCTGACAGACATGCCGAAAAAATGGATGCATGGATGGATGAACGCTAACTGTTGTTCCCTTTATATGAATGGATGGATGAATGCGGCTGAACCCTTTTTCATTTAGTGGCGGCTTGAGCCACGTAGCCCAGAAACTAAACAGAACCATAAGTGTGATTCCTTCCGCTCTCTACCCAGGGTGGCCACACTGGCTTCTAAAGAATAACTGCTTGCATGCGAGTAAAGCTAAAATTGCCGTTTATAAAAAAAAAAGCGTTGGTGCTCATGGACGTGTGAACAAGTTTAATTTATGACCTAACAAGCCACGTGTGTTCTGTGCAGCCACCAGCAGGATGAAACAGTGCTCCTCCCGAGGCCACCCCTAAAAGGTACCGGGATCGGACCAAATCCCTGGAGTCTGCCAGCGCGGGCATAGAGGTCCGAGCTCCTCACCGGCTCCTATACCCAGGTTCGTGTCCTCTGACGTATTGACGGCGGGCGCTTCCAAAAGTGTCGCTGCAATCGCCCTTTCACCTGCCTTAGATCAATGAATGGATTGATATATGGATACTAACGGCTAAACCCTTTATTACGGGCGGTAGCTTGCGCCGCCTAGCCTAGAAATTAAAAAAAAAAAGTACGATTCCTTCCCTTGCCCGTCTAAGCGAATGTTTCATACCCTCCGCATTTTTTGTGACTATCACCAGGCAACGTAATGTCTAAATGTTTCTTGCTGGTTGCACCTTTCTAGATTAGATTATGCTCCCAATGCATTCGTATACCCCCGGTGTCCGCACAAGACCTGAGTCGAGTGGATTGTGGAAACCAGGCGTGGTGTTCACACTGCTGACAACGGACGTAAAACAAAAAAGAAGAAGAAACGAGGGGATTAGTTTGAGTTTGAAATAATCAACTGCATTAATAAAAGAGATGCAGAGCGTAATAGGTCTAGCTAATTAAAGAAAGTCTTTCGGGATGCCTAATTTGGGTAGAGTTAGACGTTAACTTCCAAAGGAAAGTAAAAAAAAAGAAACACTTCCGATATTGTCAAAAGTTGCGTAGTCACTGACTAGGTAAGAACGGCAGAGGGAAGCTCCCATTGTCCCGCCTCCAGCGGGAGTTCCTACCCTCGACCATGCTTCGGTTTCTCGTGCACCTCAAGCGCGCGCGCACGCAGCCAAAGCACGTTGGAAGGCACGAAGCGCGTGCGGAAGGCTAGGCGTCCGAGAGAGACGCCCTACCATTTTCATTATGCCGATAACTAGAGATCCACGAGGGAAGTTGTGTGAAGATGATTCGGCGAAGCTGCTCAGCTGCTAACCAGAAAAGGTAGCTCTACAGCAGCCTCTAAGCTGGACACTTGGCGAAAAAATACGGCGGCCGTGATTGGCCGGTGCCGCTCTTGACCATGACGCCGGCCAATCACGGTTGTAGAATTCCTCGCCGCCATTTTTCGCCAAGTGTGCAGATTAGAGCCCCACCAATTAAATTTTAGAAAAGACACTCACATATACCACATACCAGATGAAGACAATATTTACGAAGTCATGTTTGCAGATATAAACAATATTTACGAAGTCATTTTTGCAGATAAAGACAGAATTCACGAAGTCTATTGCAGATAAAGACTATTTACGACGTAATTCTTTCTAGCATATCTCGTTCTTAAAGACTTTGAGCTAAACCGTTACCCTGTTCCGCGTATACCGCACTACCGGAGCCTTCGATGCATGTTTTTAAGCGCGCGCCCGAGTGATACCGTGACCGCGGAGCGCGCGCTTAAAAGCGTGCTTCAAAGCCTCCGGTGGTGCGGTACGCGGAACACGGTAACGGTTTGATTACGGTACCGATTAAACGTTTTACTCATTGATCAAAAAAAGTTTCGGGGGCGAGCTCATAAAATGCATAAAATGCAGTATTTAGGAGCGATCATTTCAAGTGTTTGAAACGGTTGGTTCTGGAGCGAAGAACCTCTTTTTTTTTCTTCCAATTTTGAGGAAACTGATTTGTTGGGTCACGTGACTAAGGAGGGTGGAAGGGAAAGGGAGGCAAATGGGGAGGGAAGTACTGTAGAAGGGGGAGGGATGGAGAGAGGGGAAGAGTAAGTAGAAAGGGATGAGGAGAGGTAGCTGGTGTGTCATGGTGACGTAAATTCCCCCACTAAAATTAGCGGGGAAACTGAGTTGGTGTCTTGTTACCAGCATGGAAGGCGAGGGGAAGAAGGGGAAGAAAGAGGGGGAAGGTGGGAGTTGGAGGTAGGGGGAGCAGAAGGGAGAATGAAAGGGAGCGTGAACAAAGGAAACAGATGGGGATAACATCCTAGAAGGGAGTGGAAGGATGGAGGAGGGGGAAAGAGGAGGAATAGGGACATGAAACGTGTGTGTCATGTGACGTATATTTATCCGCTAAATTGAGCGAAGAAACTGAATTGTTGTGCAGGCCACATGACATCAGGTCACATAACTTCGATATCCCCAGCTAAATGGGGTGGGGAAACTGGATTGAAGTCTAGGTAATGATACATACATGTTTCTGCTATAACTAGAGGGGAAACTGAATTGGTTGATAAGCCCCGGTACGTCAATGTTTTCGCCAAATTTAACGGCGAAACTAATTTGGTGTTTAGGTCACAAGACGTGAATTCTTCCCCTAAATATAGGGTGTCCCAAGTCACCATGCCCGATCTCAAATGAACCGTAAAAATCGATGCCTGCACGTAGCAATCTAAACTTTTCGTCAATGGTGTATTTCAGAGGTCGTTTTTTTTTCTTGTAAAATTACAAAGCGTGGCTCCTTTTCTGTAAAAAATAGGGCCAACAAACTTGCCTAGGTCAACGGCGGGTGGCGACGTAAACGACCAAGTTGAGTTCTGGAGCGCATTTGGCGCGCGTATTGATAGATGGCGTCGGGAGCAGCGTCGGAAGGTGTAGCCGACCAGCGAAAGAAAGCAGACGACATACAGACGAAATCTGTTGGCAGTATAAGTATGTTGCCTGAAACGCGTCTCTGAATGATGTGTTTACTGTCCTATGCTGCCCATACATCAAACATGGTCCCGAAGTGGCAAAAAAAGACGTCACAGAAGCCGAAGTGTCATGCTGTCGGATGTCGCGATCCTGGCGGTTGGTCGCAGAAATGCTGGAGAAAAGCATGAGTGAACGCGAGTGTCGCTGTCGTCAGGACGTCCCGAATTTTGGCTGCTGAAGCTTCCGTGAACTGTCACACCAGAGTGCGACCTGCAGCAGAGCAGGCGCCTGCCACATACACCCCAGCTGCTGGAACACCGCCAGGATTGCGACCGATGACAGCGTGACACTTTTATGACGTCATCGGCTGGAAATCGAAGGACCACTTTTTTGGACGCGATAAAGACACCAGTCGGAGACGCGTTCCAGGCACCATAGCAAAAATGCCGTCGTGCAAACGCGTTTTTTTTCCTTCAGGTTTTGCTTTTATTGTCCGCATTTATTTTTTAACCAAAGGTACATTACAAAAAGGTTATGTTCATTTTAATAAACCATGGTATCGCGAGCAGTCTCGATAAGGAGGTAGCGCCATCTATCAATACCAGCGTCAAACGCGCCCCGTTACTCGACTTGGTCGTCTGCGTCGCCGTCCGCCGTTGACCCTGGCAAGCTTTTTGGCCTTATTTTTTTACAGAAAGTTAACTACACTTTGTAATTTTACAAGAAAAAGCCGACCTGTGGAATGCACCTTTGACGAAAAGTTTAGATTGCTACGTGCAGGCGTCGATTTTTACGGTCCATTTTAAATCGTGCCTCGTGACTTGGAACACCCTATATAGCTCGGAAACTGAATTTACATATCGACCAGGTGGCGTCAACTTCCCCACTTGGTATATAGGTGACGTGACATCCATGTTCCCTCAAAGTTTAGCGGAACATGCACGGACGGTCAAACAGACGGACGGACGGAAGGACACAATTTTGGGATTCGGGGTTCCGTTATAAATCATTTCTTGCTTTAAAAAAAACGCGTGCTAAGGTTTGTTTGTGAGAGCCTATGGCATGACTTGTTCTGAACTCGTGCACTGCAAAAACTTATTGTCACTTGCTGCGGTAAACAACAAAAGGGATGAGCTAAACCTGTGTCTTTACGGTTGCAGTACCATCTTCAGCTCTACCAATGGAATCATAAACTTCTAAAGATGCTGCCGTTTTCTGCATTCTTGCTGTAATATATGCTGGAGTTTGTGTCGTTGCTTGAAATCTTTCTCGTGACAAAACACTGAGCTCTGATGGCTCACATTGCAACCCACTTGTTTAAGATTGGCACTAACCCCCAAATAACAACCCTTTGTTCGGGTCAACAAGAGCCCCCACCTGAATTTTCTAAGGATGGAGAGCAAAAATTTCAACCCTCGAAGATATGATATTGGGATGTGGTGTTGTAGGTACCCATATTGAGCTTGCCTCGTATATTCTGAAGTTCCGCATACCGTCCCTCAATGCACGCCACTGCTGTTATCATTTTCGGCTGTTCAAACGTGGAAAAGGGAGTACGGTGAAAGGCTGAATTATGAATGCGACCAGCTTTAATCTGTTCGGGAGGCCACCTTAAATTAGTGCCGTGCACCGCACTCGAAGATGCAGAAACATTTATTTCACTTGGGGGTATTAAATTCAATAGTAAATATGAGATCCAAAGCCTTCAAGTTTCAAGAATGTGACGCTTTGAGTGTCGTGGTTTCATTTTTGTCAGGAAAGGGGTCGTTTGAGAAGATGGGGATGGGAAGTACGCGAGTTTTTGGAATTTCGTCAGGTGTACAGCTCCAGGCATACTTAACTCAAGCAAATGCTAAGCGCACTAGGTTCTTTTTTTTTATGCTCGTGGTTGGTTTTTACGCAAGTTTGCATGCACATCTTTGATTCAAATGAGCATGCCAAAAAAGTGCTCGTTTTTTCTCAAATGCCATTTACTCTCGTGCTCAAGATAGGTTTGGTTGTGAACGTGCCTCTTTTGGAACGCTTAATGTCACTAGCCTAGTGCATTGTTAGGTTGGCCACATCTCCAATATCGCTAAAGAGGAGTTGGTTGTGCCGCCGCAGTGTCCGGTGGCACCGCCTCTGTTCCTCCTCCTCTCGGGCATGGGCTGCACCCTGAGCAAGACTCTGTCCTCGCTGGTCCGGGGCTCGGAGGGCCGCAAGGGCTCCAACTCCGGCACCGGAGGCTCCGAAGCCGACCCCGTGGCCGACCCCCCTCCCCCGCCGCCGCCGGACCCGCGTCAGCCGCTCACGGCCAGGCAGATCTTCAGCATCTCCAAGTCGTGGAAGGCGATCGCCCGGGCTATGGAGCCCACAGGCATCGAGATGTTCGTCAGGTGAGGGCAGTACGCGCCATTCCAATGCTCGCTTTCTGCGTGCGGCCATCCGAGGAACGTTGTCTGGCCATAATGGCACTATTGTGTGGAATATCAAACGCCACGCATGTGTTTAGAGCACAGTGACTAAGTATTTTACGCCTGGATGACAGGCGCTGGAAAGGTATGTTGTCGCGCGTGTGGTGGATTTGGCAACTCGCGGGGCTGTAACGCGGAGGCACAGGGTTCGAACCCCGCTCGGCCGACATCTTCGTTTTATTCATCTGTGCTGTTCTGGAAAGTTCCAGACGACTCTCGGCTATGACGAAGTGTTCTGGTTTGGAATATTCCTGAAAGTACCGCGTGTATAAAAGAAACGATGACAGACGCCATTCATTGCCGACTCTAAAGGCGTGCTGCATTTTAAGTTTGTAGGTACAAGTACGCCGCATTTAAAGTTTACTTTCAATAAAACTTTCGTCTACCATGTTTTATTCCTGATCATATACCTCGCAGGAATCCTACCAAATGGGCACAAATGTCCTGCATAGATGGCCTCAGATAACAATGCGCCGAGAAACTCAGGGGGAGGAGAACACGAAAGCTCCGCCTTCAGCGCGACGTTTCTACCCTTTCTAACGTGCCTTTTAGGAAATTGTCGATAATATCTGCCGAAGACCTTATTTAGTCGTCCGGACATGATGCTATTAACGTTTTTGTTGAATGGAGGAACGCGTCTTTTTCGACTTCTCTGATGTCCTGTCGTGATCTCAGGCTTTGGTCTCCGCGTGGTCCTAATGAATGTTCCCGCCCGCGGCGCCTTGTTTCTGCTGCAGACTGTTCCAGGAGAAGGAGGACCTGCTGGACCTGTTCGAGAAGTTCCAGGCACTGCGCACCAAGGAATCTCAACGCGAGAGTATGGAGCTGGCACAGCACGCCTCGGTGGTCATGACCACGCTCGACGAGGGCATCAATGCCCTCGACAACCTCGACTACTTCATGAGCTACCTGCACAACGCGGGACGGCTTCACTACAAGATCAAGGGCTTCAAGAAGGAGTACTTCTGGGTGCGTGTAAATTAATTGTTTGTATGCTTATACTGCTGGAGGACTTTCCGCCTCAATGAGCCTCTGATATCTCCACAATAGACGAAACATTTATCCGGTGCAGAATGACTGCTAACATGGCGTCTTTAACGGGCATCACGCAATAAAGATACACGACTGCACGCCGGTACGATGTTCATCCAGATTGAAGCAAGCAGGGGTGGAGATTGAGCCGAGGATCTCTGGGTTTTGCGGCACAAGCTTTGGCATCACGTGCTCACAGCTGCGTTCGCCAGCACACTCGACCACCAATCCTCCCCCCCCCCCCCCCCCCCCCCCCCATATAAGTTTCCCTGCTCTGATAGAATGTACACTTCGTTTGTTGTTGCAGCACATCGAGGGACCCTTCCTCGCTGCCGTGTCGGACACCCTGGGTGATCGCTACACGGACAATATAGAAAACATCTACAAGATCACCATCCGCTTCATCCTACAGACCCTCATCGAAGGTTTCGAAGAGGCCGAGAAGGAGGCAGCGCAGCAGGCCCGATGAACATGGCGCACCTCCGATAGTTTCAAACGCACACACACAAGCACTGTGGGTACGCGTGTGCCGCACGCAGGAAAGATGGTGGTGCCACCATTGCCTCTCGCTTACAGCGTCGTGTCTTTGCGACGGTTCTTCGTCTTTTTGCAAGCTTGCTCTGCGTCCGGCAATCTCGTCCGCGTCATTGAGCACTCGTGTGACATGACTCTCTCCCCTTCTCTGTGTCAGGGCGAGACGCTGCACCACGTGCTGTTGTTGTTTGTGAGCTAAGCAGCTGCAGTTGTGTGCGTGACCTACGCTGCAGCCATTTTTTTTTATTATTATTATTATTAAGGTGGGATTTGAGTACGTTGGTTCAAGAGGAGAATTCACACCTGTTCCCTTTTTATGTAGAGTAGTGCTCGTCTTTAGGGGAACCACATCCCCCAGGGGCTCGGCGTAGCGCTGTAGTTTTGTTTTTGTTATTGACTATTGTTGCGACAGCTATGTCTAAGCTACCAACCTATTTTATGTTGTGTACCTCTCTGTTTTAAATGTGTGTCCCATCATCAGTTTTGTAAACTTGTTCGAAATGGCCGCTAAGCCTTTTGTGGGGTGAGTTTTCGAGCCTAAGCCGTATATGGCGTGATTTGTTACAGTGGAATAGGAATGATCCGCAGGTACCCTCCGTTACGAGTAGGTCCTCCACTTTTTCTCCTCGAGAGTCGACAGATATATATATGGGCAGACAAACAGGCAGGGAGTGTAGCTTGGAAAAGCTCCTCCAGGAGAGCCAGAGGACATCGTAAATCTTGGATTCAAAATCTAAGACCAGATTCACGTGAAATCATTGTGTAGACGCATCTACGTTGGCAAGACTCGCTTGTGCTTGTGGGAGTATTGGAGAAAGGAAAAAGCAGCTTTTGTAGGCAGTGTCTTTCAGCGTTGCAGCATAAAGCGTAGATGAGCAGTCAAACACGCTAAAAAGTGGATAGAGGAAACGCACAATCGAAAATTGGGCCGAAATGTCCTGTGAGATCCCAAAGGAAAGTGAGGAAGTGAGATATTCCTCAGCCTTCATTAACTTTTTTTTTCTATTACCGACACGCAATCGCGTCAATAATTCTAGACCCGTGTAAATCAGCAAAACATATTGGAAAGCAGCATATTTGCCGTGGTTTCCTCTATCCCTGTATTTCGAGAGTGTTTGGCTGGAGTTCGGCAGTCTGGGACAGTTGAATCACAGCCCTATTTTTGTACCTGCGACCTTGGAAGCAGCGTGTAGCCAACAACACGACCTTATTCGAAGAAAGCAATTCATCACTTGGATCACGAGCCGACGGCGGCCCTTCTACTTGGCACAATCCACGCGGAGAGAAAACACCGAGAACACGAATCCGCCCTAATAGTCCAAGTGCCAAAGTGACAAAAGTACAAACGCACAGTGGACGGAGCAACATGTGAGAAGCCCGCCAAGACGTCCCCCCCTGGTTCGGTTACACTATGGTGCCTGAAACGCGTCTGCGACCGGTGCGTCGATCGCGTCCTAAAATGGGGTCCCTGGATTTCCGCCTAATGACGTCATACAAGTAGCATGTTGGCGCCGGCCGCGTTCCTGGCGGTGTCGCAGCAGCGATGGATGATGTTGCAGACGCCTGTTCTGTTGGGAGACGCCTGTCCTATTGCAGATCGCTCTCCAGGTTTACATTTCAAGGAAGTTTCGGCAGCCGGAGTTTGGACGCCGTGACTACTGCGACACTCGCTTTCAACCGTGCTTTTTTTTTTTTTTTTTTTTGTAGTTTGCTACAATTAATTGTTAGGATCGTGAAATCTAACAGTGTAACACTCCGACTTTTGTGGCGTCATTGTGTCTACTTCGGGTTCGGAACCACTTTCGATGCAAAGAAGGAATACACTCTAAAAAAAAAAAATCTGCTCGTAAAATAACTTTTAAGGGTTCCTTGGTTTGTACAATTTTTTCAGCCTGAAATGTTCTTGTAAGCCCCCCTCAAAAGGGTTCTTCGTGAAAAACCTATAAGGGGATCTTTTAACCTCCTTTTTTGACGCAAGGGAGGTCTTCATTGCCCAGTTGCCTTTCTAGTGCGCCGGGGGGCGATAGTGCTTGAGGCGAGACCGTTCTTCACCAGCTGAAAGAGCTCCTGGGGCGTTAAAGAACCTTTCAAGAATTGTTTTTTTTTAGAGTCTAGGGCGCTAAATGCATCCGTCGGAGACTCATTTCAGGCACCGTAGCTACGCATAGAAGAATTCCAAAGTGTTTTTTTTTCTTTAGGTGCGGCCGGCAAGCTCTACAGTTGCTTTCAAAACCATCCATGCCGTCACGCAATCGCAGCCTGATCATATGTGAGCATACGTTAGCAGATGAAGAGTTTTAAAAGAGGTTCGCGCCTCCAACCCGGAGCCTTCATTGTTTTGTCTTCAGTTTGTAAAGCCACCGTACGCGAGTTCCTGTCGCCTCCCAGTGTCTTCTGTCCTTCCTAGAGTGTTGAATGCTTGTTCGTGACTAATGATACATCACTCCTGCCTCCCAGAAATATCTAGACCTATCCGAATCCTACGGGTCAAGTGATTCAGGTCAACCTTAGAGATTGTCTTACGCTCATTGCTCTCCAACCACGCAGTATCGTTCCAGTGTTAGCTCAATCACCCGAATTTCAGGATTAGTTTCTATGAACACCTGAGCCATCAAAATTGCAGCTTAGCCTGTTACACCTTGTTATCGATAACTACCTGACAAGATCTCGCACCGCCATGCGCAATTTGTTTATATTTTGAGAAAGGGGGTTCGTCAGCGAGCTTTGTGTTCATCTTATCTTACGCTTTATACTTCTCAGTCTGCACCCTCTGATCAGATCTTAAAGCAACTTCCAAAAACCTCGAGAAATTCTAAATTATCTACAGAATATTTTACTAGGATTTAGTAGTATATTTAGTAACGAAATGAAAGGAACCGCCTCTTGTTACTGCCATTAAAAAGTGTGACGCGGGAGAGCTTCGCTGGCAGTTTCTCACTCGCTGTTTGTATCGTTAGTATGTCAGTTGTTTTCTTTTCGTATGTTGTCACAGTGTTGTATGAAAACAAAAAAAAAAACTATAAAGAGCACTGAATGTGTTTTTTTTTTTTCGAATATACAAAAAAAAAAGTTGAGTCGTAACAAGACAGCTAACGTCGAAGATCAGCAATCACCAGCTAAGCATGCTTCCACACGGGTTTTTTCTGCCTCCTGCTATGACCAAATTTTCTTTCTACCAATCTTAATTAAGACAAATCAAAGACTTGTGCAGGAACCAAGGTCAAAGAACATTTCATTTCTTTTTTTTTACAATTCTGGATATTATGTTTAGCTTGTTTTAACCATTATTTCACAAGAAACCAGCACCTCGTGTCAAATGGCGTTTTTGTGTCCAGATATGTTGCCGAGGATGTATAAGTTGCTCACTTTGATTTATTGAGCCTGATTCTGTGTCGCTCTGAATGGGGTTGTTGATGTTTGGCACATTTCTCCTGTCCGAGTGTATAGCCTTGGTGGTCATCCGCCAAAGTCGGTGCAGTTGCTGAACCAAGAATCCAAGAAATAGCAATGCTCTAAACATGACTCATGTTCACGTTCACTTTTCTAAAAACAGCGTGTTTCTTTTCAAATCGCATTGTCCTAGATGAATGGGCATAACATCTGGCGCTTCTGTAGACACATCATGGCTAGACATGTCCACTACTGTCGAGTGGTAGATCAAGCATAAAATGCGCAGCTGCTCGCTGTCTTCGTGACACTGCATTGTGTTATGATTTTTAAATATTTGTGTAAACAAAGCTCTGACTCCTCCGGTAACCTCTTTAGTCTATCTATTCAAAACATTTCTTTGTTCGGAATCTAAGTGGGACTTGATTATAAAGCTTCACTCAGACGATTTTTAAGATCCGTATATCAGAAGCGAGCAGGAATTTAAAACGTAGTGTCAATTTGGCGCTTGAACTATAGATATTACAATAAGTCAGGGCCTTGCATCACGAACTGCGCGTTTCTTTTAACTAAATTATGTCGACTGTGTACAATCAAGGTGAATGTTTGTTCTTGTTGTTTGATAACCTTAATTGTACCTAAGGGTATGAAGTAAGGCTGACCTACCTTACAGACGTCGTCTGGTACACGCAAGTGTTAAAAACTGGGCCAGTCATTCCAGGTTACTTGGTTGACTAGCCCAGATATCGTCATTCGGGACATCAGGGGACAGGACGTAACGATTCTTTTCTTGCCAGAAGCAAAGAGAATGCTCCTTCAAATGTTTCAAACGAATTGAGACGAATCTCTCAAGACACCGCTCGATTGGAGCGTTTTCCTCGTGATGACGACGCACAGTTTGAGAACCGCCGAATTACCGGGGCAGGCAGTCGGCTGTTCTCCGGCAAGTGTCTGATGAGAGGGAAAGGTCGGTTGTCCGTTTGACCCTAGACAGCGACATGATACTCTGTCTCTAAACACACAAAACTCGACCGAGTCGCGTTACGAACGGACCCCTTTGAACCTGCGCCTCCAGAGGGTGAAAACCCTAGCTGTTTTTTTGTTTTTGTTTTTTGTCATATCTTATAAGCGTAAGAAGGAAGGGCTCGAAGAATCGTTCCCCTATCCCTCCTAGACAAGCAGCACCACTCCAACAAACGTCGATGACTTCAGCAGAGGATTCCGCATTTGGGAGCTCCATATCCCGCTCACCATTCACCAAAATGCCGTCTCCGTGTACACACCTATGCGCGGCTTTTGCATCGTGCCGCCGCTGTGGCGCCACTGTCTACACGACGCGAGCGCACCCATTTCCCTTGTAACAAATCTGGTTTCTGCGCATGCGCGATGTCCACCCCTGGTTTGGTAAAATAAACATGGAGGTAGGGAGCTTCTGGTGGCGTTGCGTCGCCTCCGGAAGCTTCCTACCACTATGGGTCAAAACCAGGTGTGGCCAGTCCCGGGCGCCTGTTATTCCGCAAAAAAGTCTTACGAAGAACCCCTGAGAAAGCAAGGAGGATAATTCCAGCGCGTACTAAAACCAAAATGGCGAAACCTTTACGAAATTAAGATCCTCTTCAACTCCGTGACAAGCGCAGTCAC